TCAGACTCAATAGCTTCTGACTTCCCTTCCCACCCTCAAGCTCTTGGTTCCAGGACTCCTCATCAACTTAGTGGAACTGGTTAGCAGTTACTTGGAATTGTCAGTGCGGGACTGATCACAGCATACGCTGAAGCCCTGGTCTCCAATTTGAGCTTCCCCCTGCTCCTCCACCTCCAAGAACAGAGGCTTCTCAGACCTGACAAAGCTCTGACACCCAGCTCACACAGCTGGTGCAGGAGAGGAAGAACCACCCTCCTCCCAGGCTTGCTTTCCCTCCACCACTGAGTCTACCATCTCCCAGAGGTGATCCTGAGACAGGTCACCTCATCTTAGGGTTCACAAGCTGAGTCATCTCCCCTGCCAAGAACGGGGAAACCTCTCCTACTTCCCTAAGCCCATGCTCAATGCCCAAGGGATGCAGAGAGAGGTGGCTCCCAATTCAGTCAGCAAGTTAACTCTTCTGTTCCTTGGGAAGGCTGAGCCTGGACACAACCTCACAGCTTGGGAGGATGGGGTGAGGCCGAGACAACACAGGGAGGAGCAGGGATCAGCTGCCCACAAGGCCCCACAGAGGGCATGATAAAGAGAACCCAGACTCCCGGGACTAACTCCAGACCTCTCCAGGTAAGGCATGCCTTACCCACAACTTGACAGGGAGCTTTCCTCCTCCAAGAACTTTCCCTTACATCATCTAATTTGGGCCTCACCTCAAACTTAGGAGACACTCAGGCAATTGCTGTCCCTGTTTTACATTAGACAAAACAATGAAAACAGACCCACTGTGGATGGATTCACACCAGGAGTAAAGCTAGGACCCGTGTCCTCTGGAGCTCAAGATGCTGCATTTCGCCTGCACGTGACTCTAAACCCTAGCTTCGTTCCCATGACTGAGATGGAAGGTGAAACCAGCTGGCAGACAGAAAGCTGAGTTAATTCGTCCCCTCTCCTAGTTTCAGAGGCCGCAGAGTTCTTGAGTGTCCACACACCACCAATTAGGACTTGATGGGAAAGACTGTAAAAGAAGCCGGGGAGATGATTCAACGGGTAAAAGTGTTTTGCTGAGCAAGCACGGGGACCTGAGTTCATACTCTTAGAACTGGTGTAAAAATTAGGGCTGTGAGAGGGTCAGAGAAAGGGTCACTGAGTTTTTGCTGGCTGCTAGCCTCAGTGAAGGTTTGGTAGAAGTTTTTATCTTGGGGGAATAAAGATGGAGCAGAACACCCAACATTCTCGTGTGTGCACAGGCATGCACACACACACACACACACACACACACACACATACACACACCAACACACACAGTGGATAAAGGTCACCCAGACCACCCCACCCGCTTACTAGTAGTTGAACAAGGACAATGGACCTTTTCTGAGCAGTTGCACTTGGATTGTATGTATGTAGCTGCATGACTTAGTGACACAGTCTCCAGTGTTTGAATGGAATCTGTCACTTCGCTGTGTGGTCTTAGGCAAGTCCCCTGGTCTCTCTGAACATCCCACTCGCTTCTTCTGTACTAACTGTAACAGGCGCCACCAGGCTCATCTCCTGGTACAGATCTAAGTCCCGTTATCAGGATTAGCTCATGTAACCCTTGTCACGGTGCTACTCCATTAGACAGGGAAAGGGGAGAAGAAGCCCGTGCAAGGCTTTATCGAGGCCTGGTTCCTATCATAGTTGTCAGGGAAGCAGCCAGCAGGACAGGAAGCACTCAGGAATAATATGACCCCCAAAACCCACCTCCTGTGATCTACTTCCTCTACTCAGGTCTTACTTCCCCAGATTTCCACAATAAGCAAGCCACATGGGAACCTCTCATACAAAACACAGTCCTATCAACATTCTTAGCTTTGTACATGATCCTTGCCCCAAGCCAGAGGGACCCAACCTTCCAGCCTCGTTGCACCTTTAAAATTGAGATCTCCAAGCACAAAAGAAAAGTCCTGTAGTGCTGTGGGCTGGCTGCTCATACCAGCCTCAGACAAAACAGCACAACCTACCAGGCCCCAAGCAACTTGCCACCTGCCTTTCTAGCCACATCTCATCAGTTCATCCAACAGGTCATTCTGGACATCTTCCCCAAGCCTTGCAGGGATGATGTTCCCCGCTGAGCACTCCAGCCATGACAGATTCCTCTCACTTCCTGAAATGCAATCCTTCTCGCTCATTTTCCCCCTTGCTTGTCCCTGACAAAAACTGTGGGCCCCTCCCACCCTGCCGTCTTCAGATCTCAATATGGCTTCCTCCAAGCAGCATTTGTCAAGCCACCCCGACCACCCCTCCTCAGGTGCACACGAAGCACCTGTGCATAATGTTACCTACTGCTGTGGTATATTTAACTATATGATCAGACTTGTTCTCTGTTGTATCTCCGACTCACTCCACTCACTTCATCTGGCCCTGGGATTGGCTGCCTGGGCCTGGCAGAACAAGCTACCAGCCACTTCCTAACCTCCAAGCATCCCTTCCTCCTGCTCAAACAAACAAGCAACACCCCCCTGTCTCCCAAAGGAAGAACCAGAGCTTTCTCAGGTACCCATAACAGGAGGTTTAGAATCTCTACTCCCAACTCCTCTTAGGCACCTATGAGCTCTAGCACCCATTCCCGCAAGGAAGGGAGCCAGGGCATACACTTCTGCTTGGATCTTCTCAGTGCCCAGATTGAAGTTATGCGACCTTGGGCCCTGCTTTCTATTTCAGTCCCACACTGTCCTTGCATCCAAGCTCATCTCTGTACCACCACCTCTTGCTCAGGCCTAACTTCCGTCCTGCCATTTTTCAACAAAGGGTGAGGCTGAGTCAGAGACCCAAGCAAGTTTGAAGGCCAACTTGAACTTAACCTTGAACTTTCTCCACCCGGCCTGGCCAGCCTGTGAGTGTACATCCTGGTATCTGAACTAGACGAAGGAAAGGGTCTACACTGCCCTGTATGTTCTCCCCTTTCACACACACCCCAAATAATTAACTTCCTAGCTCTGAGAAAGAATAAGCACATGCTAAACACTAATTAGATTAACTAGAACTTAGCAAAGGTTTAGGGAGATAGTTCAATTGGCATTTCTTAATGAATGATCATTCAATTGATAAAGTGCTTCCCTGGGCATGGTGGCATGGACTTACAATCCCAGCACCGGGAAGGCAGAAACAGGTAGATCCCTGAGGCTCGCTGGCCAGCAAACATGGCCTCATCAGCAAGTCAGGGAGAGATCCTATCTCAAGCAATAAGGTAGGCAGCACCCAAGGTTTACTTCTAGGATCCACACCCACACATTTATTGGTGCACTGGCTCGCATTTCCAGGCCATACTCTTCATTGTGTGTTAGCTTTCCACTCCTATGGCAAAATTTCCGGAAAAAAAAAAAAAAAAAGTCTACTTAAAAGGAAGAGACATTTATTTGAACTCACATCTTGGGAGTTTCTATCTATGGGCGGTTGGCTCCATTGTTTGGGAGCCTATGGTTAAGGAAGAGTGTCATGATAGAAGTGTGTGGCAAAGAAACCCTGCTCAACCCATGGCAGCTGGGAAGGAAGGAGAAAAACGGTGTCGACCCCAACTCCCTTCTGAAGACACACTCTGATGACTTAACTGCCTTCCATGAGGCCCCACCTATCAAGGTTCTACCACCTCCCAAGTCAGGCGCAGGAGCTGAACCTACAGCACAGTCTTTGCGGAAGCATTCAAGACGCCGACTGAAGCAATATCATTGTCACCATCACCGATGTTTATCAGGTCTACACACCGGGCCCTGCAGAAAACCCATATATGTTTAAGTTATGGCAGGTGCTGGAAGCTTTTTCCAGAACATGTATGTGCCTCATTATGATGATTAAGCCAATGAAATCCCTCATACTTGAATGGCTTTCTTTAAAGGATATGATGAAGCCTAGAGTTCCCAACACCTAGAGACTCTCTAGCCATTGTAACAACAGAGCAAAATGGTGGGGGTGCTGGTAATAGTAGTGGAAGTATACCATTCACAGCACATGATTCTTGACAACAACAAACAGCTCTATTACTGAGTTCATATTCATCGAACTACACCTTCCCTTGCCTCAGGTGTGCTCTGCAAAAGAATGGGCTGTGTGACATCAGCGGCTTCACACATCTCTTGGCTACAGTGTCTCTCAGCAGCTTCAAGAGGCTGTGACAAAAAACTGACACTCCATGATGGTTCAGGACAGAAATTCTCTAACACGTACTTCTGAGGACACTGCCCATCCTTATGAAGCACACAAATATACCTGGAGATGGCAACATGGAAAGAGGCTTACTGAACAGCCTGGAGGTTTGGTGATGCTTCCTTCTCCCCTCCCGTCTGCACATGCCTACGAATGCTCATGAAATGTCTTCTGTTCGGATAAGAAGTTCATCCGCAATCTCCCACAGTGGGGAAAGGTTTGATTCAGCAATTCCCGAGCTGGCTCTACACGGTATCAATCCAAGGATAGAAACAGCTCCAATTTAAAAAAAAAAAAACAATTTTCCCCAAGACAGGGTTTCACTGTGTAGCCAGGGCTGTCCTAGACTTGCTTTATAGACCAGGCTGGCCTCTAACTCACAGCAATCTGCCTGTCTCTGCCTCCAGAGTGCTGGGATCAAAGATGTATGTCACCACGCCCAGCCCAAATAGCCCTCTTATCTTGAGTCTGTGTTGTTGAACAGCTGCCTTTCAGGTTAGACAGACCTCTAAGGCCTGTCCAGATGGACTGGCCAAGGCCAGGCTGGGTAAGAGACTTCCAGACAGAACTAGGTGAAAGAGTGTGTAGTGTAACATTCAGTAGTAAGAGTACGTGCGTATGTGCGTATGTGTGTATGTGTATATGTGTGTGCCCACAGGAGCAGAGGTCCTGCTCCATAAACCAGGAAGCTGGTCCCTTTAGGCAGTCCAGAGTCAGAAACATTTTGCTTAAAGAAGGGAGTCAATATTCTGACAACAGAACCGGAGCTCTTATCAAAGCACACACAAGAACCTGTGCATAATATCACAGCTATGTTTAGATACCTGCTGTTCATGAAGTTGCTCTGCTATTCCACAGCAACTCAGTCGGGGCAAGGGTCCTATCTTGCTTTAACGTGAGTCACAGAGATGAAGGGACTTGTACATGATCACATAGTTGGTTGACCACCGATTAGGTTAAGCCACCTGAAATTGCCAGCACACAGAGAGAAAAGTATATCTTTTTAATTTTTTTTTTTTAATTCCATAGTCAAAGTGAAGCTGTGAGCTGTACCTTGACCTGGCAAAGTTCCTTAAAGGAGACAGAGCCAGTGCCTTATCATCAGAAACACACACACACACACACACACACACACACACACACGCACGCACGCACGCACACGCAAATCCATAGCCCCCACCCCATTGCCAGGGAAAGAAGTCACCTGCCTGGGATCTTCTCTTCCTCCAATTCTCTCAGCCAGGCAGGTGGTCAGCACAGCCAACCAAACAGCCTAGTGGAGACTCAGCCAGCAGGTAACATCTCTCTCTGCTCTGGGCAGCACCCAGCCCCTCTATGCTGGGGCCTCTGATGTCCACCACTGCCCTCACTTCATGCCAGGCTCCAGGGTTCACCTCTCAAGTATCTCTATCTCTCTTTCTCCCCAAGTGCAAAGCCTCAGTGACTTCTCAATCCCTTCTGTCCCCTTTTCCTTTCCAGTAAGTTCCACAGGTACAGGTTCTCAATTGAATCTCCCTGCACTCTACCAAATGCTCAAAATAAACCACAGAAAGAACACCATGGCTACTTAATGACCAAAGCAAGAAGGCCCAGTTTCACAGCAGAGGTTTCTTCCCCTGCCTTTGTGTGGCCCTGGACTTGAGTTCATCACAGTTAGATGGTGTCTCTCTTCCTGCAGGCAGCACCATGCCTGGCATTCAGCTGGGGTTCAGAAACTGCCTGTATTAGGCACTTGGACCTTAAAGTTCTTAACACTTGTCCATCTTCTAGAGTTCTCCAACCACCTGGAAAGAAAGCAGAAAATAGGCCGGCAAGTGTTTGGGGGGGAGGGGGGTTGGGAGGCGGGTAGGCATGTCACTCCATCTGGCTGCTGTCTGTTTTTAAACCTGTCTGCAGGTTTTCCATTTTTAAGCCAGTCTGACTCCATCATTCAGCCAGCCAGCCCTGCTCTCCAGCAACTCCTGATAAACAGGCTGCAGACTACAGACACTGGACAGTTCATTCAGGAAGCAGTGCCCAGCCTTTATTGCCTAACAGGGTGGGCCAGTGGCAATAATTTAAGGGGTGAGGATCATAAGTCCCTGATTGCCCTTCTCACCAGTGCTGGAAGTTCCACTAACATGGAACACAGCCCAGCTCTATATAATTGAAGAGGTTAATTCACCGCTGGGTAATGAAGTGACTGATAGGATGTGTGAGACCCAGGACTCTGTCCCCAGCACGCACACACACACACACACACACACACACACACACACACACCCCTAAAGAACAAAATGCTGATACTAAGGTGTAGATGCAGGTGCTTTTGTAGCAGCTAAGTAATGAGGATTTTCCTTCCAAGGAGGAGAAGCACTCTATAAATATTTGGGTGGAGTCAACACTACACTAGGAGACAGGGCATGGAAATCTGGTCCCAGTACTCCCCCACAATGGCTCTTAAGGCTGTACTCTCTGCTTCTTTGAGTAAAATTTGCAAAGCTATAAAACGGAATGATTCAACTAGACAGTCTCCAAGAACCTTTTAAGATCTTATTTCAGTTTTTCCTCCAGCCTATTTGGTATTGTGTTCTTAACCTAGCACAGTGCAGCGTAGCAACTGTTTATCGTGAACGTGCTTCAGCATTCCCATTGTTCAGAGCATGAGTCAAACAAGACCTGCCAGGAAGATTTAGAAACCAAGGTCATCACAACCTTAAGAAACACAAAGCATTCCTGTTGACAAACAGGCAGCCCTCAAGAAGGGGCATGGGTTGACAAATGTTGTCAGATGATTCCCTCATCGTATCGCTAGCTTTCGGAGTATACAGCCCAAACACAGACGGACATGACGTCACCAGGCAATATATTTAATGGGTCTGTCTTCATCCGTGCATCCTGCTGTTGATCAAAATTATCACTTCTACTCCTTTGGAATAAGGGCAGAGGCTCAATCACACAAAGATAACCCTCTCAGCTGCCTCTCGGGCACCTTGTGTGAGGTGACAGTCACCCTTCCCCCCCCCCATGTGTACAGCGATTAACCATTTCAGTTCTCTTTGCCACCCATGATCTGATTTACTCTTCTCTAAAGCTGTGTGGAGTAAACAAGGCAGGAATGATTGTCCTGTCCCATGGGCTGAGAAACTGGTCTCAGATGGAGGAATGGAGGTGGCTACGTGACAGCCAACACTGAAACACAGGTTGGGCATTTTGTTCTGTTCAGGTCTCCACGACACCGCCGCCACCTCCCTCTTTTATTTTCTATCCCTGGTTCCAACCTTAAAGCAAAAGTAAAAGGCTGGGGAAGATAAATCCCTGCCTGCATACATGGCCTAGGCTGCCCAGCCCCAGTGTGCTTTGCCTCCTAGCTCCTACCCTACAGCCTAGGAGTGGAACCCAGCCAAATTCCTGCTAGTTACTGTTCCTTGTGCAGCAACCCACAACTCCGGAGGCAGTGAGGGGGCTAGCTCTTCCCAGCTCTGCCTAGCCAAAGCCATGGTTCTCTCTGGAATTGCAAAACTGACTGACATCTGCTCTGACTAATCAATCAAGACAGGTACAGGTAAGATAAGGACTACACAACCAAGAAGTTGGGCAGAGACCCAGAAGAGAGAGAGAGAAGGAAGCAGGAGAAAGGAGGAGGAGGGAGAGGAGGAGGAACAGGAGAAAGCTGCTGTAATAACAGGGTAATTGCCCTGTTTAGGATTACACTCTGCCAGCATTTCACTAAACTTTATGACACCTGATGACAAGTTAATAAGCCAGATACCTCACTGTGAGCATTCAACAGATGCCCGGAGCCTTCTTGTATCCCACCCCAGCTCAAAAAAAAAAAAAAAAAAAAAAATTAAAAATAATAAAAAGGCACAAGAACTTGTTGGGGGAGGGAACCAAGAAGGTTGAGAAACTGGTTATTTCTGTTGTCAAAATGGCCCCAGCAATAAATCACCATAAATAATACTGTCATCTATCAAAGAGGAGCCCTGGTTGCCAAGGCCTTTGAAGTAGCAGCACCTATAATTTCCCACCTGTAAAAGGTACCTTTGTGTATGTGTCATCCTGGAGTTGACATAGGCGAGAGGCAAGGAGTTCAGAACTTCCCCACACCCATCCCAGTAGCAAACGCAGAGCCGTGCGCATGTGTAATCCCATCTGCTAGAGCGCATGTGCAATGCCCTCTGCTCCCTTGTCCCTGCCTGCCCTGGCTCTTGACTATTCACAGGCCTGAAGCTGAGGCCTGTGAAGTTCACTGACCCAGATAGCTGGGGAGAAACAGGGAGGGGCTGGAGCCAGGTAGATCCAGAAGCCTCTGGCCCTATCCCCTAACAACAGGCTGGCTTTCCCAGGATGGGGGAGTGTCACCCTCCATCTACCCACTGCATAAACCTCCAAGAAGGCAGGCCTGGGTAGCTGAGGGCTGCAGAGGGTGGGCCTTCAGAATGGCGGGCTAAATTGAAGATGCCTCCTTCGCAGGCTCCCCAGAAAGGACACGGGGAAATGTGAGCAATTCTGGTCCTGGTTTCTCAGCTGCCAGCGTGCTCTCAGAAGGGAAGGAGAGCCTGTATAAAGAGCTGTGGCTTTTACAACAAAATCCACAAGCTGGCCAATCAAAGGGACAAACACTTTCTCACAGATGAGCCAGGAAGCAGTGGCACATGCCATTAAACCCAGCACTTAGGTGGCAAAAGCAGGAGGATCTCTAAGTTTGAGGCCAGCCTGGTCTACAGAGAGAGTTCCAGGACAGCCAAGGCTATTCAGAGAAACCCTGTCTCCAAAATCAAACAAACAAAAAGACAAAGTTCTGGACTAAGAGGTCAGCAGCTTGGGGGCGTCTCATTGGATTGGAGGTGGTCACCTTCACCCTGTGTTCATCCCCATAGCTTCCCTGTTCTGGCCTCTTATCAAGACATCAGTCATATTGGGCCAAGGTCACTCTAACCACTTCAATTTACTTTAATAACTACTTTAAGCACCAGTCTCCAGACTCATCCTCTAAAGTCCTGGACTTGAGTGAATAATTTGGGAGGGACCCAGTTCTCCTATGCAAAGGCTCAAAACTGAGCCTCGTCAGGTGCCACAGAGACTATAAATGCCACCAGACTGCTCTCGGCATCTGGCATTCTCATCTCCTGGAAACCAGACAGACTTTCTCTCTGGCGGTTGAGGCCACTCTCCCACTCATCCCTTGCACCTGGGGTAATTTGTCTCCCAGCAGGCCCACATTTTACCCAGAGTGGGAGGATCCCCTGATTCTGTCTCCCAGTTGGATCCTCTTTAATGTGACTTGGACTGAGAATCCCAATGTGACTCTAGAGTAAACATTTATAAGAACAAAATTTGCCACACTGCACGTCTAGGCAGTTGATACGAATAAGGAAAACGGTCATTGGCTCAGGGTTAACAGCTAGCAAGGGCCCAAGCCCAACATGGCCCAGCAGGCTTTAGACTAGACAGCAATGGTTCTCAACCATTGGGTGGGTCAAGGGACTCTTTCACAGGGGTCGCCTAAGACCATCAGAAAACACAGATATTTACATTACGATTCACAACAGTAGCAAGATTACAGATATGAAGTAGCAACAAACATAATTTTATGGTTGGGGGCCACCACAACATGAGGAACTGTATGAATGGGTTATGGCATTAGGGAAGGTTGAGAACCACCGCCTTAGGGTTTATGAGGCTCTGACCCCCAATCATTTGTCCTTGTAGGAAAATATATACAGTACCAAGACACACACACACACACACAAGCACACAGTCATCTACACACACGTGATGTACCCCTCTCCTGCCTTCCCTTCTCTCCCCAGCCATGAACAAGAGCCCTGGGCTCCAGAGCAGCTCTACGGATGAACTGGCTACCAAGGCTCTTAGGAAGACAGCTTGCTGGCAGAAAGTGAAAGTGGATGGAGTAAAGGACAGTTTTTCTTTGAGGTCCAAAAAGCTGTCAACCCTCTTCAGCTGCTCTGGGAGCTGACTGCCACCAAGAGGGATTAGCAACCAGGATTGTTGTGATCTCAGCCTCTAACAAACCAAAGGAACAGTTCAGCCCTGAGCTCCAAGAGGTTTGAGGAGGGATTGTGGCCTCTGGCCTCCAGGAGCAAAGGATCTCAGGCAGGGATTCGGGTTCTCTCCGTGTCCATAAAGCCCTTGACCTGTAGGGAAAGGGACCCAGGTGTGTGGAAACAAGAACCCTGGGGCCTAGAGATCCACCGCTGGGGGAAATGTGAGGTTTCCTTCCTTCAAAGATCAGTTGGGGAAGGGCTGGAAAGGGGTGGGCCAAGCCTGAACAGAACCCCCCCCTCCCCAGGGACCTCCTGTTTCTCTAAACATTACCACCCTGTTTCTCTGCACTGTGATTCAGAGAGAAGATAGGAGCCAGAGCTGCTTGGAGCTGAGTCAGAAAGGAGGTGTGCCCAGCAGCCCTGGGGACTGTTGTCCCTTCCTTTTTGTTGATACAGTGACTCTGAGTGACAGAGCCAGTTGGCTACTTGGTTATGTTTTGTCTTCACCCCTGCCCCACCCTCTGTCAGAAGGGACAGCAGGCCACCAACCTCACAGCTCTTCCCCTTATCTTCAACTTGGTCTTTGGAGACAGCAGGAAATCCCCCCATTCTTAATGATTGAAGAGAAATTCCTAAGGGCAGGCGATGTGGTCTGTGATCCCAGAGGCAGGAAGCTCAGGAGCTCAAGGCCAGCCTGGGCTACAAAGCTAAATCCCATCTCAAAGAAAAAAAAAAAAAAAAAAGAAAGAAAAATTAAAAGAAAATAAAAGAAGAAAAGAGAACAGAGAGAGATAGAGGAGGAGAAGGAGGAGAAAGAGGAGGAAGAAGAAGAAGAAAAGGAGGAGGAGGAGGAGGAGGAAAAAAGGTACCCCAGAAACAAAGGTATATCCAAGGCCAAGGAGGCTGCCTGAGGTTTCAACTTCCAGCCATTGCCAAAAAACTGTTCCCTTCAGTACAGCAGCTCCTGCCATGTGCAGCCAGGGCCATTCTCTGCACACAGCTAACAGGCAAGATCTCTATCCTCCGGGATCCGGAGTGTGGAGAGACATCAGGAACTCCTGCAAAGAGCCCTAATAAACAGTGTAGCTACTCATCGTGCCTAACCAGCCAGGCCGTGGCCGACAAGCGGAGGAAGAAATACAGATTTGCTGAGCACCAAATTGGGTCTAATGACCCTGGCCTGTCTCACAGGGTCATCTTGAGAAATTGCTGATGTCGGGGGATGATCATAAGCAGCTGTTCTCCATTTGCACTCTACAAGAGAAAAGGCCCTTAAATTACAGCAGGAGGGAAGCAGGTTAAAACACTCAGAACAGCTTCCTGGCTCAGAGGCTTGCAGAGCGCTGTGGTGTGTTATCACGGGGATCTCTTTAGACAACCCCTTCCCAGTGAGACCCTGAAGGGGAATGAGCCTAGTGATCTGCCAGGAGGCTGCATCAGGAACTTTATTAGGTCATTGATCCTTCCTCCTGAAGGCAGGGCATTAGACTGTGTGCCCATTGTCCCGGGCATTGCTGGGCACCGATGACCTTGACCATTCCTACCATCAAAAACACTGGAAGAGCCAAGTGTGGTGGCATGCATATTTAAATGCCAACACTTGGGAGACAGACAGAAGCAGGTGGATCTCTGAGTTCAAGGCCAGCCTGGTCTATATAGTGAGTTCCAGGTCAGCCAGGCCTGAAGACTAAGACCCTGTCTCAAAAGAAGAGAATACAAGCTGGAGAGTTGGTTCAGTGGTTAAGAGCACTGGTTGTTGCAAAGGAACCTGGGCTCAGTTCCCAGCACCCACATGGAAGCTCACCACCTCCTCAAGCACCAGCACAAATGTGGTGCACAGACACACATGAAGGCAAAACTCTCATACACATTAAAAAAAAATAACTTTAAAAGATCTAAATATAAAAATGAATAAACTATGAAACAGGCAGAGAGAGAGGATATGCTGAAAAAATAGAATTCCCCCAAGGACATCCTCTGGGCCCAACACTCAAGCCTCTGTCCCAGAGTCATTCTTTTCTCTCTCTGCAATGTACCTTCTATAATGTTCTCTTCTATGGTGGACCCATTCTTCTTGCCTACCTGGGAAGTCCCCTACCACTGAACTACACCCCTAACCTTTGACTAACACACAGACTGGAGCTTGGCCACCACCAAAGGATGGAGGGCATCTATTGGATACTTTGCCTTCTCAACCCTGCCCAATAGTCCTCAGTCAGCCAGAATGGCAAGAGCCAGTGTGGTTCCTAAACTCCCTGGAGACCGATTTTACAAGGCAACAGCCGGAAATACCTCCGTCTCTCTTCACTGTGGGTGAGCTGCCTCACAGTGGCAGCACAACTCCTAGCCTTCCCAGGGGAAAGCTAACATATAGAGGGAAAGAGAAACGACATAATCAGAGCGTGTTATTGCTGTGTAAGAAACCACCCATTTTACAGATGGAAGGCTGAGACCTGAACATAGTCAGGGCCTTTACATAGGTATGTGACCTCGGGCAAGTCATTTAACAAGCTGCAGCCTTCCTAAACTTCAGGAGCATTATGGAAGCTGAACCTCACTCAGGGCCATAGAACAGTGACCCATGTCCCACTGTCTCACTATCCCACTCTCCCACTCTCCTCATTTTCCACCTCTAGCCTTTCCTGCCAGTCTTCCTGCTTCAGGAAGTCATTCCTCTAGATTCTCAGGTGACATGAAGCAGCAGAGCTTCGCACCAAACACTGCTGTTGCTGCAGATTAGAAAGCGAAGGGCGCTATCAGGCAAGAACGCTTGAAAAAAGGGACAGGGGAAGATGCTGAGGCCCGCACTGTTGACCTTCCAAAGCTATGGAGTCTTTTGTGATCCCTGGCTAGCATGAACGATGGACAGTGGGAGCACCTGAAAGCCCAATGGGACAAAGCAAATCTTTGGCCCCAGGTCCTCAGAAGCCTCCATTTCCATAGGCCTCAGGCACCTGTTTCAAGGGTGGTACTCAAAGAGTCCCAGAAAGCTATTCTTTTATCTCTTTCTCTACGGTATTGAGAACTTAACCAGGACTTCTTGTCTACTTGAAAGGTTCCCTACCACTGAGCTACACCTCTAACCTTTGCCACACTGGAGAATTGCTAGC